AAGTTGTTTAATTCTGATGTTTATTATATATATATATATATATATATAATAAACATCAGAATTAAACAACTTCGGCATAGACGTGACGCGAATAGCACTTCTGTTAATCTTTTCGATCCACAGAGATGCGTTGTACTACCGTATGTCAAAGGTCTTGGCGAAGATATACGTCTCACACTTAATAACGTTGGCCTCGATACTGTCCACACTGTTCCTAAAAAATTGGACGTCATTATTAAGAGGGAAAGGACCGTCTCGATAAGAACAATTCTACGGAAGTGGTCTACAGAATAAATTGTAATAATTGCTGTGCATCCTACATCGGACAAACAAAACGATACTTAAAAACGCGTGTTACTGAACATTTTAATGATATAAAAAAAGACGATGATAAGCATTCCGTTGTCAGCAAACATCGCGTTTCCTACAGTCATGATTTCAAGTGGTCCGAGGTGGAAATATTGCATAGGGAAAAGAACAGAAAAAAGAGAGAAATCGTGGAAATGTTTTTAATAAAAAAATATTCAGATACGATTAATCTAAAAAAAGACACGGATAATTTAAATCCCATATACGACAACGTCATCTCGAGTGTATAATTGTTTTTCTGCTGTTGGGTACTCTCTGATAACCTTATTGTTAATGTTTAACATATACGAAACTACCAGTTCGTTCCTGGGGCCCGATTCTCTATCGACAAACGTATGCGTAAACTTTGCTCTAACAGAAAAGCTGCAAGCTTATTGGCTAAAAACTGTGCGATAGCCAATCAATTTGCAGCCTTTCTGTTAGAGCAGAGTTTGCGCATACGTTTCTCGTTAGAGAATCGGGCCCCTGACTCCCATCGTGTGAACATGAGTCGTCGTGTGGCTCGAGAAAATTGTGATTTTTCGGTTTATATATTGTAACTCGCCAGCATGATACGCAATGCTAATTTTGGTGCCGTCGTGGGACATTCTCTGTGTAAATAAGTACCCTCTTTTTTATTTTTTGAGGTTTAAACATCACTCTATTATTTATTAATTTTCTAGCCTCTCATTTGTGATGTTTCAACCTACGGCATTACCGAGTTCAATACACCGCGGACATAAACACACAGTTACACGAACATTCATACATATACACAGTGTCATATAGCCCAAAGGTGGTGCTGAAGGCACTATAAAATCTCTCATCCGAGGGATATAACCGTAAAAAAAAATGTTTCTGTCAAAATCTCATAAGCACTAGACTGAGAATGTGCCGACGATGGTACTCGTTTCCTCATCAGGTATTTGAATTTCTGCTCCTTAAAATTTTTGCATTGACTTAAAAGAATTTCTTTTATACTTTTTGAAAATTTTAACTTTTAACTCTTAAATTATAAATTTTAACTAATGACTATGTTATTTGACCTTACGCTGTATTTTTGCTTTGTTAGATCACTTGATAAGGACCCGAATCCTGGGTTGAAACATCGTGAAGTTTTTATGTACTTTTGCCAATTGTTGTCGATATAAATATATTCTTTTGGTTAAATAGTATTGGCAGAACAAACACTTACTTTTTGGTATCTCAATAATTGTTTATCAGAGGAAAAAGTGGTACAAGACTTTTTGACTTAATTTGGTCTCAAGAATATGTTGCTGCATTTGTGCGAAAATAGAATATTGTATAAATTATGTTACAACATACATAAGTGTTTACAAAAGTTGGAACACTATTGCAACAGCATATTCTTGAGACCAGATCAAGTTAAAAAATTCTGTATTATTTTCTCCTCAAACAAAGAATTATATCGTACTAAATTATCGTAAACTAAATATTGAAAAATTTACCGAATTTTTCTTAAATGTTAAAAAAATATTACGTAAATAAAAAATGTTTTAGACGATTTAAAAAAAGGATAAAATAAAAAATAGTCTTATTTTAAAAAAAAAAGGTTATCTTAAAATCTTGGAGGCATATGATTTCTTTGTCTTCACTTGTTAGACAAGACTTATCTTATGGAATAAGATGTTCCCCTCGAAACAGAATAAGTTCTATTTAAAATATTTGTTCGAACAATAAATAGTTCGGGAGATAATTGCGGAAAGATTAAAATAATACACCTTATATACAATGTTTAAAAGAGATATAAGTATGTTATGACGCGCAAAATTGCAAATAGCTTGGTTTGTTTGCGATGGATCTTCTGATATCTTTATGTTTTCCAGTATCTCTTAACAATAATATTGTTGCTCTTCGGTGAATGCACCGTGTGCATCATTGCTGTCTTCTGGCCTCATGTGGTGGGGATCGACGTAAGACCGGCACGTCTGATACGCGCTTTACAACGCAGTTATGCTGTACCTGGACGTGAGCAATTCACAGCTGCCCTCGATCTTGCACAAACAACAGTAAGTTTATATGTCATCTATCAAATTTAAAAGTAAAGATATAATGTTTACAGATATAATGTTTTCTAACGATATATTTAAATATTCAAGAGCATTGTGATTAAATTGATTACAGTAGCCTATATGCCAATATTTCTAGACAAATTAACATAATAAAAACTTTGACAAGTAAGATTATATAAAGTGCAAAAAGAGATTCTTGTGTTTTATATTTATTAAGATTAGAAGAGACAAAAGATACAAAATATACAAAAATAAAAAAAGAAAAAAGATCTATCTCAAACACTTTTTACGCGGATAAAATATGTATTTAATTTATATAATGATACCAAAAGAGAAAATGTACGCATGTCATTGTCGTTCTGACCACTTACAGTTCGCCTGTTGCGGCATAAACGGAAGCAGCAATTACGGCACGTCGTGGTGGCGACTGCAGGAAGTCGGCCGCAGAGAATTAGTGGTGCCTCTCAGTTGTTGCACCCTGAATAACGCCAATGAGACAGACTCCTTCCTCAACCCCGAGCCTGCCAATCTCACTCTCTGCCAGGCTCTGAACCCTGCCGAACATCAATACGCCCGGCACACTGCGGTATGCGCGATAATGAGGAAGTTATTACTCCTTTTGCCGTCATGCCGTGCCATGCCATGCTGACGCGAGACGAACTTTTCGAATCGGTTCGCATTAAAGACAGATACGGAGTTCTACATACCACACGGGAACAAATACGTCTTCAACATAAAATATCGACACATCATTGAAGCGCTATATTTACATGAGGCTTTATGACGTTATTCTCGTTTCATGAGAATGAAATTCCGTTTAAAAGTTATTGCAGTTAAGAACATTTCTCTTGCGCGAACGTAAACGCAATAATGCGAGATAATATTTGAGAAAAAAATGCAAACTCTAAGCTCATTTCGAAAATTATCATATTAATTAATTTTTCCTCTGCGGCCGTGGTATTCGGTGCTCCGATTTTTCGCGCTTTGTCCGAAAGTTTGCGATAAAACCGGCATGACTTCGTACACGAATACTAGGAAAGGGATGTTGTGTATCGATTAATGGCTTTGTCTTGATAAAGACCTCCATAACAAGACTGCGAGAGCAATTTATCAGAATGCGGGCAGCCGGCAGTGACGTTACGTTATGGTTGCACTTTTGTAGAATTGGCCGAAAGATATAATAGAAATCTCATAGAAATATGCGCAATTATTATGAGGTCGAAGATGTAACAAAAATATAACCAGTAAGTATTCGACATTGACCATTTATCGACGCATCGACGTCGAATCGATGTCGATTTGACTAATCATTTCTGAATAGATATATTATAACACAATTATCACATCGTGGAAATATTACGTCCTTTTCTTAATAATAATAAATTTATAATCTTGTTATAAGAAAAATTATTAGTCTCGACAACGTGAGTCGTGTGCGACCTACGCGGCCTAAACGGAAATTTACTGAAAATCGGGCCAATAGAGAAAGTGTTAAGCTCTAATAATTTCGTAAAATGATTTAAATTGTATATCTCTCTAAACACGAGTGACTTCGTCACCGGTCTATAACAACAGCGATTCGGACAACAAAAGATACAAGCTGATACATCTCCGGTCAATAATGTTTTAATTTTGATTGTTATGCATTGTATATAATTTGTTCATTTTATATTCAGGGTTGCCTTGAATATATCGAGAAGTGGACGCAAGATCAGGCTCTGATCCTGTTGGCTATCGTATTAGCGGTCATGTTCGTCGAAGTCACGGCGCTTCTCAGCATACTTCTCGCTTGCTCCCGAGAGAACAGGAGAAGTAAATCGCAGGCGTCAACTTTCACCTCCACGCAGACTTTAAGCCCATTCACTGAGAGCGATCACGACTTTAGTAAGAAGTTCTTCTTATGCTGCAATTTTAGACAGCGCAATTTAGAATACATTTTTCAGTATGCTTAACTTTATAGGAAGAATATTTCTATCAAACTTCAGTATTCTCGGAATTATTATTCACTATACTATTCCATCTTATCGTGCTAATGTAATTTGCCTGGATTACAGGTATAGGCATCGAGAACAGGATGCATACGGCCGGAACGACGTTCGGTGCCAAATCATGAAGATGGCTGGAGGGCAGCGAAGGACGGACAGCAATCGATGTCAAGGACGCAAATAAGCGAGAAACGTGTAACGATACTAAACATAGCGTGTTAGCGACGAGCGGAAAGAGCATAATCGAGGAATGGCGAAATCCTCCCAGATACTCCGAAGATTTGCGAAGCGATCAAGTGTACGAGGAACGGGCGGTCGACGTTGTGATCGATAATCGTCCTCCGGATCTTCTTAAAATGCATCCACGGTGCGCGTCGCTGCCAAGGATAGCAAACGACGACGTGAATAAAAATAATAACGATGACAAATTGATTAAGATTAAAAGACCACAAGGTGGTGGCACAGTTAGAAGCATCCCTATTAAAGATTATCAGGCGTCGATCGCGCATAACATCGGCACTTTGAAACGATCCGTGGCACCTCAGTCGCAATTCGAGTCCCTAGTCTCCGAACCCGAGAAAAGCGTTTACATGCCGTTAAGGAAGAGAGTTCCTGTAACTAGCAGTTTGCATCACCGGTCCGCATCGCAGACTACGTGCATCGCCGCGCAAACCGTGAAAGCGGATAACGGTCCGAGGAAATCTTGCTGCTTTTGCGACAGTCAGCACGATCTGCGCGGCTTCTATTGCGCCAACGCCGATTCGAGCAAGCACGTTGAAGACATTCGATACTTTAATAAAACGGAGGATCAACGATCGCAAAACGGTTCCGATATAGATGAGTATTTCCGTAGGAGCTCACGCGAGAGATTCAGCTCGAATGATCACCGGATTTCGAGACGCACGCGTGAATCTTTGGGAAACATGAGAACGATAACAGCAACCGGTACGAAAAACGAGAAGGCGCAAGCGGAAGAGGAAGCACAGGCGTTGCAGTTAACGGAGGGTCATGTCGGTCAGAAAATATCGGCTTACGAACAGAACGCTTGGCGTAGTTTGCGCGGTTCCAGTCCCAAGTATCGATCGCTCTTTGAGGTAAAGGGACATCGTACCATCGGTGTACCGTTGGTGGGTATGCACAACGCTTGCGGCTTACCTGTCGTGGCTTCCTGGCACGATCACGAGCTTCTGGATTCTCTGCGGATCAGCCGCAGACTCGCCGGAACTGCGGGACCCATTTACAAGAGTCCTCGCACAATCCCGAACGTGCGACGTCGGACACAATCGAAAAGGAAGGCGCCGCAACCGGATCGCGGAATAATCCATGCGAGAGATATCAATCGTGGCATTAAAAAATCGACGATCAACTCAGCGGGGTATTTGGACGCTATTAATGGCAGCGGCAGGTCCAGGAGGAGGCATCGTCGCTCGTCATTTACCACGACAAAGGTTGGATCGCTGTCCTCGAAAAATTCCTTCAAGAGGATGCCTAGAAGATATGGAATTAAAACGAGTTCGCTGGTGGATACCTTTGGCAGGAAGTCGATTAAAGGAGGAAGCGCGAAACGGACGACTTTATACGCGAAGGACGACGGCGAAGAGCCGGTGCAAGTTCTCAAGAGCTTATGCTTAAATCCTCTGGCGCGTGTCAATCCAGAAATGGATATGATGTGGTGAAACTCGTAAAGAAATTAACGTATCTGCTTGTTTGCTCTTATCGATTAATGCATTCATACGTTAAGTTATTTAAAATAAAGAAGTTAAGTACCAATTACGCAAGCGTTAGGTATCGTTTGTTTAACTATTTAATGTTAAATTAGACAAACAAGATATAAAAACAAGCTTTCCATTTATTGGCATTTCCATTAACTATCTCTCATACATAGCATGTAGTCCCTGGCGGCGGGAGCCTCTTCGGTCGGGTCGGGTACCGCGGACCACTGCCCGAGGTCCGACCTCCCTTGTCGGGGTCGCGTTTGACATCGTCCAGACGGTCTGCGTCGACACAGACCGTGTTCAGGGCCGAACTACGACACCTCGAGTGATAAAACGCCGTTCGGTCTGGCGGCGCATTTGATCCCAGAATTCCTCCAAAATCCAGGGTAGTCCATTCGGAGATGGTGGAGGAGACGCCTCCACCGCGCTTCAAACTTCTCTTCTCGGGGATTTTTAAAAATTCTCAAAGTTTTAGTAACAGCTGCAATAACATATAAAGCGAGAGGGATATGATAGGGCTTTAAGTCCTTCACATGG